ACGCAGAGAGAGAGAGAGAGAGAGAGAGAGAGAGAGAGAGAGAGAGCCATGTAATGAACAAATTACTTCGTCGACAAGTCGCTTGAAGTAATTAAGGAATGAAAAAAGCGCTTTCAACGAAAGAAAATGCATCTGGAAATAAACGACGAAAGCCTTGGACTGGTGACGGGAAAAAAGGGCAAAACACGAGCGTCGATAACGAAATTAATTATAGTTCGTATTACAAGTAGACTACATTCGAAGTACTTAATAGTAGCTCTACAAAACGAAATGCGAGAAGTCCTACGAGCAACATCCCTTATCGAAAATTATCCACGCGATTGATCGTTTGCACAAGTATGACACTATGCAGAGCGTTAATTAATTCTTCAGCGAGCCGACAATCTTTATTATCTTGTACAAAAGCGTAATATCCGATATTAACATAAAACCAATATTAATCTGATACTTATAAAATAAATTAAACTATGAAATATTATGTGTATATAATAATTTCCCTTTTTTTTATATTATTTTATAACATTATACATATATATGTTAAAGGAATTGAAACATGAAATGTTTGTGAATACATTGAAACTGAAATGAGAATTAAATAAGAATTTAATTTTATTCAGGAAAGATCTCTATTTGAAACTTTAACTCTGTTATTATGAAATTGCAGACTGCTTACAAAACAGTTCACGATAACTCTTTAGATTCTTTAGAAGTACTTTATGTGTCGATGATGATGTGAATAACATCATGCTTACGTGAATAACATAAAAACCTTTTTGGTCGCAAGTAGCATTTATAATATACATTCATGGAAATTAACTCAAAAGCCGTAAAAAATGAGAAGAATTTAAATTGCCACTCTTGCGTCTCTTCAATAGTAAAGTTATTCCGCTTATAAAACTCTTAACGCCCCGCAATTATAAATCGCAATTAAAGCGATGCGTGTCAGTTTGATGTTAATACAAAATATATCTTTAAAATTTTATTACACTTCTCAAAATTCTGCTTTATATCACGTTTTATTAATTCCTTTTATATATTATTTTATATTTTGAGCCGATAAATTCTTGAAAAATAATTGTTTATGTAACTACAAAAAATTAACGTATACAATAAAATCTGTCCAAGATTTTTACTTTCTTATTATATAACTTATTATAATGTAAAAGCGTGATTCTTTAATTCATTAATCACGCATCATTATTTTTTATTTTCTCACCAAATAATCTCGTAGAACGACGGAATATCGACGTTCATTACAATGATCGTAAATTCTGTATTAAGCATCACATTAATCGATCCGGCGTTGCAACGCATATAATAACTAATTAATTCGTTGGAATAATTTAAATTACGACCTATCTGTCAGTTGAAAATTTGACGACGTCAGCTATTTCATCGGATATAATTAAATTGGAGTATATGACGGTTAAAATAAAGCGTACACGGAGCCAAAGTCAGAATATATTTTACAAAGATTTTTCGGACCTGTCACAACCGGATCGAACAACCGGATGATTCTGTTAATAAAGCCTGCTAATAAAGCTAGAAATGAAATGCTTTTCACGCTTCGTATTGCATGTAATTTTTGTCCGCTATCTCAATACATATTTGCCCACGTGCGTATGAAACAAATATTTCAAGTAAATATCGCTAGCTATGACGTTGCACGTACCGGCAATTTCGCTATTCTCTTCATGCTGCATTAATGCGAAAACCGCCGCGCCACGTCATGTTTAATTCGGGAGAATGCGTTGTTCGATCCATGAAAAACCAAATTTGTTTATGAAAACAAAGAATATATTTCTATCAATATGAAATAAGCAATCATTAATGTAATAGAGAGAGAAAGAGAGAGAGAGATTTCCCTAATTATCAAATTTAACGAAACTAGTTAGAGAGAAAATGATATCAAGCAGATAATATCCTGCATCTCTTTGTGCTGAATTCTAGACAAATGATTTATCTTTTTTAATAAAGATAACATATCACTATTGGATAAAGACATTTCATAACTTTACCTTCAAGATTAGTAATTCCCTACATCTCGACCAGCTTCCGTTTCTGTGAAATCAATCAAGCGATTTTGCTTTCATGATAGATCGCCACCGAACGATCAATGAGAGGATTAACTCGAAACGTCATAAATATATAGCTGACATGTAATGGCAAGCGAGTCTTAAGGATCCATTAATAAAGGCAGAAGAGGAGATAGCCGCTTCCGCACACGGCGATTAATCACAGCCTGAAGACGCTCGTGCCGGGCTTTATGGACCCTTTAAACACAGCCACCGAGATAACACGAGAAGTTAAAATGGCAACTCTTTTAGCATTTTATTCATCGCTATAGTTGAAGCTCTCCCGTTCCTTCTTTTTATTTTCGCGCGCGTCTCGACTCGGAATCGCTTGCGAGTCTCTGCTTTGATGCAGTATTTCCGAATGCACTCGCCGGGCTATGGCGATCCAATAATTTAGGAGAAAAGTTAGGGAATACGTAATTAAAGTTACGAGTAGATCTTCGTAGTTGCAGGGGAGGGGGGATAAATATTCGACTGCGCGCAGCCAGGGCGAAGCAAATAAAAACTTGCCGCTCAAAAATCTTTAATTTGCAAGAAATGTTTCGCGTTCACACGATACAACGTTATTCCGCTTTATATTATATATTAGGCTTGACTATTTACTTGTGAAAAGAAAAGCAATCTGAGATGAGATATTATTTACAATATTTTTTACAGCGTGGCGCCGGCATATTTTAAGGTTCATACGTTTAACGAGACATTAACCGAGCTTTTAATTGAGACTTTAAGATCGATTTGAACGTTATGCAACATAAATGTGCGTTGATAAAGCTGATTATCTTCGTCACAAGAGGGAGAAGATAATCTTCTCAAGATGGTAACCATAAGTTATGGTATACTCGAATATAACTACAAATAATATTATTGTAGAATAATAGAAAATTAAAAATAACTATGTATTAACTATCGTTAGCTGATGCATGTATACTACCACTTGCGATCGAAGTAAACTTCGACAGTATTTTCCCGACACTCCAAGACAACTTTCTTAAGGAATTCTGTGTTAATTATGATAAAACCCCTTACAGAAATGTAATTTATATAATACTGAAAATTACTTATTTTGAATATTATAAGCACTGAACGCAACAGTGTTTCTAATACTCACTTTGAGTAATTAATTACCGACTTTCAGTATTAAGTTTCTAAAAGGAACAAGACAGCCGCGTCGATAATAAAAGTCGAGAAATGAACTACATCCCAATCCGATTGTAGTGCGTAGTTTTAACCGCAGCTTAAACGTTCTCACGATATGCATCCTGTGTACTTCTACGTTTAAGTCATTATTAGATTCGCGTGTCGATAACAAACTTTAGAGAATTACAGAAAGCTTTTGTGTGCATTTTCGGTAAAAATTGCATTTTCGATAGCTGCATGATAGTGTAAGTGTTCTCTCAATTTCTCTGCGTAACACTATTGCCTCTCTTCCCTTTTGTACACGTCTATACTCCGCGTGCAAGTAAGTACATTCTATTCTCAATTTTCTTATTTTCGCTTATCTAACACCAGAAAACTGACGTACGTAAGTTACCTTCACTGTTCTGGCGAAATGAGAAATGCTGACTTCAGCGTAACTTCAGCAGGTGAACTGGGTTACGCGTATCGATGTATCCTGTAGAAATTCTAGAGATGTTAGCTACCGTTAAATGAGTGAACCTTTATAAATATAAATCTCACAAAGGTTAAAAAAAAAAATCACTGAGAGATATCCGAAGAACGTTTAAAAAAATTAGAACGTCCTTTGAATATCTTTACAACACATCCTATAGACGTTTTTCTATTACCTGCCCCCATAGAAATATGTATCTAAAAACACGTCAAGCAAATGTCACACTACGCATTGGAGAGTGAGGATTAGAGATTAGAATTCACCATAATTTTAATTTTAATGCATTTTGTTCTGATCGGCTGAATTCTAATCTTCAATCTCCAATGCGTAATGTAACACGGGCTTAAGGAAACATCTGAAGAATATCTCGTAGATATCTTTATCATGTCCCTGTAGATATTTTTATTACTTGTAATATGTGCTATTCTTACTCATATAGGTGTGCTTTTATCTTTAGCTGTGTGTGTTATCTGTCTCAATAATTATATTACCGAATACTAATACGCTTGTTTCGCTTGTCTATTATTTCTTTCTCAACTTTCGCCTCGAGTGTGAGTCGCAAGAGTCGATTCCGTGACAGGTCCATTCGGATGGCACTGAACCGTCGTGTGTTGTGACTGCGAGTGTGTCATTGTTGAGTGTGTGTTTGCACTCGCGTGGAGAGGCTCGAATTCTCGCCGCGTCTGAAGAATGTTCCGTATCAGGAGTCACGGTAGTGTCTCGGCACTAACATGTTACTTACTGTTTACTACAGAATAGAGAAATCGTTGAAAGCATTCCAGCGAAAACTTGCTCCAACGGGAGACAAATAAAAAAAAGTAAAAAACCTAAAGGACCCTATATGAGAATTACGGAGAGTAGGAAGAAGTAACTATAAAATGCAAGGCTTAAACGAATGAAAAGCGCACTCCTGTTCGATAAATATATCAGAAAATCCGTGAAAATTACATTTAAAGAATGGCATTATTCTTTGGAAAGCGCGCTTAGCGCTAAAACATTTCAAGCGGACATTCTTACGGATGTCTGAATTTTTAAGCCTCTTCACGCGCACCAGAAACGCGCGAGCACTCATATAAACGAATGAAAGATTATTAAATATGTATGTCGAGCAAAAATGGAACCGGAGATATCAAGTGAAAAGGTTCACGAGCGGGAGACGATTACGATCTGAGCTGATCTAAAAGAATCCAGGAGAATAATCTTTCATTCTCAACGAGAGAGCTGCTAACAGCATCTCAATCCATGATATTTCCGTGACTAATCGCCTTCTTTTTGTATTCTTTCTTCGGGGGATTTTCGGGAACACCTCGATTCAGGATCATACTTCAATTGCATCATGTTCATGGTGGCGAGTAGCGTCGTGCTGACCGTTTTGGTGCTCAACTATCATCACAGATCGCCCGATAGATACGTGATGCCAAATTGGGTAAGAAAATATAATAAAATTGAACTTACTGTAACATAGATATAGTTAACTCTAATTAATGATGACATTTAAATCTAATTAATAATGAATAACAGTATTTAATATAAATGCGATAAATGTGGCGTATATTATTAATGATGCAATGTTGAGATAAACAATGGTAATTTGTCACCAAAGTAATTTTCAATAAAGCAAATAATTCTAATAATTAAATAAACATTAATAAATAAATAAACGCTAATAAACGTTGACAAATATAATTATTATAGTTGCATAGTTATTTGTGTTTCTCTTTATAATTTTGTACATTTTCTATTGAAAAGTGTTCATATAGTTGAAAGGATTACATATTATACACTACAACTATAAAGAAAATTAATTAAACTTATGTATAGTAGAAGCTTTTTGATTTGTTTTGAAAGGATGTTTTGATCGATCATATAGTAAAATATTTCATTTGAATAAAGAGATTAGTCATTTTAGATATATAACAGAAATAAGCTGCTTAACTAACGGATTAAACAAGATTGTACTTACTTTCGTCATTGTTATAGTGGTATCATACTGAAATTATCACAAATTTTTAATTGCTTTCTGTTACACTTTATAATGGAATAAACAACAATTTTTGAAATTGCGCAATATGATCGCAATAATAAAATGTGGCCGTATAAGTGTATATATCAAATTCATTTTTTTCATTTTTTAACGAAATATTTAGATAATTATAATGAAATAAATAATAAAATCGTATCTTGATATTTCTAATTGCATTATTTAAAGCAAGTGAAAATTTTTACAAATTTAATTTTTTTTTAAATAAATTAGGTGCACGCAATTCATGAACTCTAAATAATGCTAAACAATTTTAATTATCGCATGCAAAGAATACTTCGTGTAATGGATAATAATACGTTGCAAGCGCGGTAAACGTGCGGTTATTACTACCACCAAAAACAGTGCTTCTTGGAAGTTTAAAATGCCTTCGAGGTGTTGGTACTCCCAACCAGTAGCAGTCAGTTAATGCAAGTTCTTCATACAACTCTACATATATACACATATGGATTGTTTGGATACTCTGAATTCAAACAAGTACGCTGCATTTACAAAACTCGTATAGCGTATATTTGCACATGTATGTCAATATATAATATGTATTACATAACATTTGATTTATTATTTCACTAAAGAAATAACATGCGACTCGGTTTCGATATAAAAGAAGTCAAAATCGAAATTATTGAGTAAATATTTTATTTATGAATTTGTTTTTTTTTTATGTTGTCATGAACACTTGAAAGTCCAGAGCTTTCTAACAAAGCAACTTATAGACGATCTTACTTTTTAAGAATTTTTAAGATTTGATAAATTCTTTTATAGTCTAAAAATAAAAATATAATTAAAAATTTCAAAAAAATTAATTCAAATATAAAAAAAAATCGATTTATTGAGTGAAATTCGATTTTAAGAAGTTCCTGATATCACTGATTGTGTAGTTTGAATGAATTAAAATAGCCTGAAAACGTAGAATCTGAAAGAGTAATAAACTCCATGAGAGGGATTCTAATGTCACAGATTTATTATCAGTTTTAAAAAATCAACTTAAAAATCAGTATTAAGCGCTGTCACGCTGTTCAAGTTATGACGTTTAGAAGCTCGCGGCGCGCGGCGGTATGTGTCGAGTGAACGAAGGCTTGCTCATTTGGCAGTAGTAGACCGGAATATAATTACAGAATATAACTTAAAGATACAACATCACTTTGGAATTTCTCGCGCAACTTTCATTTTAGAAATTTTCCACAAAGAAAATACGTACCCTTAGAATGACGCTCATCGTAAAGTGTTCATTGGCTTATAAACTACATATTATACATCCTTGGAGAGTATCAAACTTTGCATATGACGCGCGGGTGGCACACGCACTCCAAAATTCTGTACTCTTCAATATTAGTTTTTCGTTCTCGTTGCAAGATTCAAGGGAATAAAGTTGCATGAAATTTTTGCTAGAGCGACGATACGGCATGTGATGTAATTACGAAGTTTAACGAGTCAATAATTCGATATTCACGCAGGTGAGAACAGTGTTTCTACAATGGCTGCCGTGTGTGTTGCGCATGAGTCGGCCGGGCAAGAAAATCACGAAGAAGACCATTCTCATGAGTAATCGGATGAAGGAGCTGGAGCTGCAGGAGAGGAGCAGTAAGAGTTTACTGGCGAACGTTTTAGATATCGACGATGATTTTCGCCATGGGAACAGCTCCGCCAATCCTGCCTCGAGCTATATAAGGTACCACGAGTTCTACATCCATTCAAGCTTTTCAGGTCGTTGCGTTTAGCGAAAATTTCGCGATGGTTTACCATCCATTTTCTCGATGAACTGCGCTCCTTTTTTTTATTAACAATGGAGCGGCTGTTGTTTGATAAGCAAATGTGTTATTTGTGGAAAACAGAAACCATGTCACATTTTAATCCCATTAAACGAAAAGCAATGTGAGAGAGAGAGAGAGAGAGAGAGAGAGAGAACTGAAAGTTGACTGGGCATATAATAACATTATGAATGATTAGACGGGCGGTAACTAGAGCACATTGAGATGCACGATCACGTGTTTCCGAGTAAATACCTTGGGTGTGTAATCCACTAACGCTGCAAATGCTTCGTTGACCAATTAAAAAAAAGAATGTTACGAATTGACCAATCAAAGAATGCGTCGGAGTATTTGCAGTTTTAAATGGATCGCACCCCTTGCTTCTCGCGTGTTCGACCAGCACTCAACGTTATTTTACAGCTCTATCGGGAAAAATAGAAGACGAGCTGCACACACAAAATGATTAGAGGACGGTACACTTCGCGCGTTTGCTCTGCAATAACTATATAAGCAGACAAGAGATCCACCTTGCCCGAAATCCGTCGCTTAAACGGCTGTGTCGCTGGAATCGAATATCGAGATTTTCATGGTCCTCAATAAACGCCAACTCAATCTACCGAACCCGGATTCCCGTGTTTTCTCATGAGATTTTTGCGGTCTTTTTTCTTCCTCTGCTGATTTCCGTGAGCCGTTAACAAAAATATTTCACATTTTTGTTTATCGACCCTTCATAATCGCTTTGGTTTGCCAGATGATTCTCTGGACAATCCGTTTTCTACCTTCCATCCCTTCTTCGCTCCTCTGTCACGTTGTTATGGGAACTACCCGATAAGTTCTGTGACGTAGTGGTCCAATTCAAATGCATATGTGGCGTGATAATTTTAATATTTTTAAATTTTTTATCCGTAAATTCAATAGGCATTTTCTTTAACTACGTTGTAAACAATTGTTTATAACAAATAAATGTTTTTCACAACCTTACATTTTAAGTTACGTAATCGTATTCCTCGGATTTCAACCTTTACAATGAAAAAGAGATCGTTTAATTACGTTTTAAGCAAAGATATATCTATTAATTTAAAGTACTGCAACGAATATAGTTAAGGAAATTTCGGAACGAATATCAAAAAACTCATGCAAGGAAGAAAATTATTTGTTCTGGATTCTTTTGCAAACACTAAATCAATTGACTGTATAAAATAATATAATATGAAAATAAAAGTTTTCAAACAGATATATACAGTAAACAGATAAATATACATGTAAAGGAGTTCCGTGTAAACAGGTACAATCATAAGAAAGGGAGTGATCCTAATAAACATGTAAGTCTAAAAGAATACAATATCTCGAAATAAATTTTTATTTTCGAGTAACATATTCAACAATTTATGAAATAATAAAATTTATTGTTATTTTTTATCGTATATTCTCAATTACCAATATAATAAATATGAATAAACAGAGATAGTTTACTAGCTAGATCCATTAAATCGTACCCGGCAAAAATTATGTTACAATCGATTTTCCCGAAAACAAAGCTTCATGTGAAAAATTTTTATTTTTCCAAGTTTTCGTTGTATTTTTCAAGCAGAATCTTTCTCTTCCTGGATCATCATTTACGGAATACTTCGTACATAGTTCACAATTAATATCTGTTTAAAAGAGAAAAAGTAACTCCTATGTTCGTGAGCAACATGAATTTCAATTGCAAAATTATCGTAGCAATTTACAAGTTGTTTCGAACATAGAACTTCAACATTTATGACATTTAACTTTACGCAAACTTTGCATTATCTTATGTACCGAAATGGACTATTTTAATAATTACACAACAGCCGTTATATGACGCTCTGAAGTGCCGGAATTTCACGAACTCTCCGACGATCTATGCGAAATGTCCGTCGACGTCTTGATGGTCCTGAGAGAAAACGTGTGACATCTTCGAGAGTAATAATCTACATAATCTTTTACAGCAGGTCGACGTACGGTACACCGTTGTCGTCCAGGCCGTCGACGGTTGAAGAAACTTCGGCATCGTTGCCTCTCAGCGGCATGCAGAGGGAACTTCACACAATTCTCAAGGAATTGCAGTTCATCACAAGCCGCATGAAAAAGGCGGACGAGGACGACGAGATCATTAGCGACTGGAAGTTTGCCGCCATGGTGGTCGACAGGTTGGATGTTTTAAATCCTTCATATATGGCTTTAGTTCAGTCGTATGCGCACAGCGTCCGGCGAATCTCTCGTGGAAAATCTCGTGAACAAAGAAAGCTTTTATAGCGGATTTCGAAATTCAGATCCTCGTTCCTCGCACGGTGAAAAACTTGTCGTTTAGGCGTCGTCGGACCGCCGATTCGCCGGACGAATCCATTACGTGATTGTTTCAAACTTTTAGTCGTTTTAACTATTCAAAATTTTTCTGCTCAATCATTTCATTTACTTGGACCTCGCTTATCACATGAGGCCAAACAGCACAATTTATTTGCTCGGTAATCTCAATTGTAAGAAATTTATAATTGGTATATCTCTATAGAGTCGGGAAGTGATTCATTTGTAACGAAGTTACAGTTAGCTTGTTTACACAATATGTGATTATCTAAGGATTAAAGATTACCAAGAAATTCATGAATAAATTTAATTAATGAATCCTTTAGTAACTTTTAATCTTTAAATAAGTAAGCATATATTGTAAAAACAAGCCTTAAAGTAATTTTCTTCTAGTAACTGTAATTTAACTTAGTTACACTTTTTCTAGCTAATTAATTTAATAGTTACTTTTATAGTTATCTGTATATTCTACCTCTGCACTATTTAATCTATTATTGAAATATTCGATTTGTGAAACTAATATTAAAATTTCTTTCCCGTGAAATTAAGGCTTTGTCTGTTCGTCTTCACGTTATTCACGGTTTTGGCTACGGTGGTGATACTGTGTCGCGCGCCACACATAATCGTCCAGTAATAGACTGCCCCGGTCGAACCGAAAAAATACACATGCCAGAGATACCGCCTCCTGGAATATTCGGTAAGGACAAGCTTGATATTATTATACTTTGTCATATAAATAATTGCCTTTATGATTGCACGTTGCACAATAGCTTTTTTTTCGTAAGCCACAATCACCGTCGATAGGTTGCTCGAAAATCACGATTTTCGCTTCATCGAGCACCACCGCTAGGTATTTGCTCGGGAGACCGAAATCGGTATGTTAATTTCACACCGCGCGGATCAGATAGGCTGTGATGATTATATGCGAATGACGCGGGCCAGATGACCATAACACAGTTAATACTGCGTGGAAATGTTAACAAGCCCCGTGTAACAAGCTGGGCTCATTGGGCCGTCGGCGCGCTGAAAATATTCAATCGCGCCAACGCGAATGTCTCTACCTCGCAATTTCGTCGTACTAATTGCCAGTCGGTACCTCCGTAGCGCTACTACGGAGCACAATTATTTATGCATTAACCTGGATATACAACCATTTGATTACGCGATTTCAAGTACTCGGACACTCGTTGCTTAATTATCGAAAATTGGCTTTGAATAGTGCGATCTAATAGCTTCTAGCTAAATGTAATTAGTGCACAAAAGTATACTTATTGTTTACTTAGATAACTGTCTATCAAATTAAGGTTTTAACATTCATGAGATAACAATGTACGTAGAGAAAAATTCATTACTTTAATTATATATAATAATTATAACACCGAAAAAAACTAGAATGTTAATGAGTTCTTGCTCATTGGTTTTCTCGCACACGTTTTTTTACACAAAAAAAAAGTTCAGAAAAATGTTCTCAATAAATGGAAAAAAATTGCATGTACAAGTTAAATTAATTTTTGTATTTTTGCTTTTTTTTACTGATCTAGAGAACTTCCGGTCTGATTACCTTTCAACATTTCTCTTAATCTTTTCGAGTTTAATCGCACAGCGTTTACCGCAGTTGAAGATTTTATCGGAATACATTAGAAAGATCTCAAAAAAATTGAAAGTTCATACCTCAAGTTTTAGAATTGCTGGAACTAAAAGCCTGCTTGGGCTTAATGGCAAAGCTTAAGCATGCAAAAATCGATCACTCAGTGTATGTACATACATCTCAGCCAATGTGAATCTCTTAAAAGTCAATAATCAGAGACATCGCGTTGTACTCATGCTTTCTCTCTCTTTTACTGCAGGAACGACGTCCGGCATGATTCGAGGAGGCGGCTACGCTATAGGAGCACGTCGAAGTGAAAACGGGAAAAGCGCGGAGAAAAAAAAGAGAGACAGACACGTTTTAGCCTCTTTCGCGCCCTTCTGCGCGACTCACCTCTCCCGAGAGAACAAGGGAACGCGATCTCGCGTTCTTGGATTTCTCACAGCTGGGAATCACCGCCGGTTTGTGCGCCCAGTTCCTTTTCGCGACGTGCTTTCGCTTAGACGCGAAAGGGAGGCAAGCAAGAGTGAGACCACTGACGACGTTCATATAGGAAAAGCCACGGGGAGGATGGACTTCCGGCAGCGACGGCGAATGCCACCGTAATTTTTTTAGCGGAGAACACGCCTGGGAAACGTTTCCGGATTCAAGAGGAAAGAACACGAAAGGAATGGGAACAAGGATCCGATCGCCGACGTCACGCTCCGTTACGACTGCGTTATTTCGTTTAAGTGACTTAATTAACGTTTCTAGTGCGGAACCGGTAAGATAGTCGACGCACAACGCGAGCTGGACAGAGATTTAGAGGATGCCTCTAGATCCGTAGACGAAGGTAGGTGCAGGCGTAAGGGAAAGAGACAGCACGTGCTGTCGAGCGGATCCAATTAAAAAAAAAAAAAGTTTCGCGGGCTCCTATCGATCGCGATATCGACCAGCGATTGCCGCGACTATCGTTTGGTGATCGGGGTCGATTTCATTCAACGGCCGATACGATTTCGCGAGGAAGGAACGCGTGACAAGTCGACGGCGTCACGAGACAAAGGAGATCGCGCAGTCCTCGTAAGAGCGTTGTTGCGGCCTTTCGATAATAGTTACAATAACGATATTTCTTATAATAATGAGAATAATAATTAACGATAATTACTGTTAGTCGCTTTGCGCGCGCGCGCATGCACGCACGCACGCACGCACGCGCGTTACGACCGAGTCGTAATTAATTAACTCTGCGATCTGTTGAGGGTCTCTCGTAGGGAGCCGAGACGGACATAAAAAATAAACTGCCAAATACTCGAGTCAGGGGTGTTCAACCTTTACAAACGGTAGGAAAGTAAAAGTGCGGCCTGGACGATCGACAGAGTGAACGCGACCAATGGCAAGAGCCCGCGTCGTAAGGGTGACTCGTCTGTTTCGTTCGACGAATATTTCCTTCTTTCCCCCTCGTGCATTATCCGTGGATAACGAACGCGATTTAGCGGCGGCATCTCTCTAGAAAGGCGAGCCCGACAAGGCGCGAACGAAACTTGCGCCATCGACGATCGCGCGATCGACCCTCCACACGCTCGATATATTTTTCCACGTTTCCTCTCCAATAAAACCCTCCTATTATTATCACGTGCTCGAAAGCTGACATACGCGAAACCACAAGCGATCCCTACCTCCCGCATTTCCGCAAAACCCGCCGGATATTTTCGCACCACGTATTATCGCGGTGTGCACGTGTGTTTGTGCGCGCGCGTGTGATGTGTGCGTGCGTGGATGTATGCGTATGTGCGTGCGTGGATGTATGCGTATGTGTGTGTGTGTGTGTGTGTGTGCGTGTGTGTGTGCGTGCGTGCGTGTGTGTGTGTGTGTGTGTGTGTGTGTGCGTGTGTGTGTGCGTGCGTGCGTGTGTGTGTGTGTGTGTGTGTGTGTGTGTGTGTGTACACACGAGAAATACACAAACGCACAAGAGAGCGGTCGACGCGTCGCTTATTCAGCCGATCGGCGGAAGAGGGTCGATCGATCGATCGGCCGCTCATTTGTCCGGATCGTACGAGCCGCACGAGTATACAGCGTGACCGACAAGCGAGCACGTATACACGTAAAGAGAAAGGCGAACGCGACGAAGGCGAGCAAATTGCGGTAAAGAAACAAAAAAAAAAAAAAATAAGAAAACTGCCAAGTTGGACCACCCCTGCTTTCCGTACAGAGTCACGCGTACTCGAGTCCTCGAGGACCTCGGTGAATCCGTCGTGGATCGTGATCGAGCGCTGCGAGAGCGATCAACGTATACATATTATGGGGGCCATATGCCTACCGCGACGACGATTTGTATCTCGGTGGATCGCATAGTCTCGTTGCTCGACTTCGCGCTGTCAAATCTCTCGACGACTGTAACTTAAGGTTGCCGAGCTTCCCAAGCCGTGTTTCGCGCTTTTCTAACAGTCATTACTTCCATTCCATTCCTTATTTTAAAAATCATAATAATATGACAACAAAGTCAGAATGATATGTGAATGTTCGCTTTGTCATAAGTGTGATGTCACAGCAAAATCATGACGTGTGAAAGTCCTCTTTGTCACAGGTATATGATATTGCTATGAATCGTTATACAGCTGTGATAAAAGCACTTCACTGTGACACTGCTATGACGTATACAGATCAAGATAAGATGTAATGTTACTATAACTTTTTGATAATCTCATAGTTATATCACAATTTATCTATGACTGTAATGTGACTTCTTTTGTTATCGCGGTATCTGTAACAGTTTATCATTGAAAAGATAAAGTCAAAGGTCTGAATCTAACTTCGATGGCTTAAAGATTCTATAATTATGTAATATAATTTTCATACAAAACAAAAATTTTCACGAAGTAATTATATTACTAGTATAAAACTTTATATTTGCTATTGTTTGTGTTATTTATTATTTCTTTTATTAAGAAAGTATTCTCTCTCTCTTTCTCTCTCAAGAGATAAGGTATAATAAATGGAAGAAGTGTAAGTTTCAATTCGTCGATTGCACATAAAAGCATGATTTTGTAAGTCGATAATCCGGAATCGTTATTATTGCTGGAGGTATAAAAGAAAACCTGTGAACTCAAGCGAGCTAATTAAATAATTAATTCTTGAACCGGGTGCCGGAAATCCTCCAAAGGCCTCATTAACGTAAACTCATCATTGGGCGAGTCGGTATCTTTTAATCGCGCGCGACTAATTACCGAACCGATTCGCGGATCCGTTTGTTGTTGTCTATGTAAACTATAGAGATCAATATTTTAATTTACGCAAACAATCGGATTATTACAGTTGATTTTCTTCGTTGTTTATTCCATTGACATTATACTCGAGCACTTTTTAATCTCGTATTATTTAGAAACTTGATTCATATTTTATCATTACGGTAATTACTACCTGCAGAAGGCTTACATTGCACTTCAAGATTAATGGCACTAATCTCAGAGAAAATCAATTTCATGATATATATAGACATAAAATAGGTAAATAAATATTATGAGACTCTTTAATGCCGTAATAGGCAGGTGAATAGTTAATGTTAATTTAGAAATGTCTTGTACTATTTAAATAAATGACTAATTTATATGTTTTCCTCCAAAAAATATTATTTTTCTTCTTGTAGTTGCTAATGTCATAGAGTTAATTGCAGTACAACATGCATTCATAAAATTTCTCGTATTTAGCAAAATAATTTTAGCAAAGCGTAACGTTAAATTACAGTCGTCGTAGGTCGTAGCAAACATCCCCTTTTCCAGCCCGCTCTCCCTGCCTCATTTAACGAAGCTGTACGGAATGACAGAGTGATATGTAATCGTTCAAATGATGCTAAAAATGAAATAATGGATAACGTCGAAGTGTTCCGATTAAATAGTCAGTTATAAATATGTAAACATAAACGTGGCGTGGGACTTAATACATCCTATATAGCTGTTTGGTACACGAGTAAAATGTCATCGGCTAAACAGTGTCATAGCAAGCATGCACACACACCCACACAAACACGCACACATGCAGAAACACATATATATCATATACACACTACATATACAAAACTCCACATCCACTGATGAACTGCTTAGATGCAATAAATACACAAAATGGATCGTCGACGATAGTCGATCGCGTGCCGATCGGGATCGTCGATCGCTTCAGAATCTCACGGACGACCGTAAATCGCGCACCGACCACCGGCGATCCACCGGCGCGGGAAGAAAGTCCATCGAGCAAATCAAATCAAATCCGAAAATCATTGCGAATTTGTTTTTCCCGAGGACGGTTTTTAGGTGATTATCGATCATTGCCGACAATCATTTCACGAGAACGTAAATAAGTCTGCGACGCCCAGCGGAACACGAAAACGCACACGGACGGGAAGGAATTGTGATACAATTGTGTGATCCTCGGGACGCACGCGACGTGAAACAGAACGAGGAAATAAATCGCGCGACGCGAGGAACAATTTCGAGCACAACGAATCGCGAGTAGTATTTCGTGAGCACGCAAGAAGGAGAGACTGAAGGGCCGTTTACACCATGCGATTTCTCGACACGATGCTGCTAGGACACGATGTTGTTAGAGTAATTGTTACGAACGTTATTCTAAAATTATAACTGTTTTCTATAGTAATACATAAGTCAGCTAGAATATATATCAAATATCGCGAAACTTAATATCGTGATATGTAGCACCTAATTAAAATATTGCTAAAAGTGTAACACGATGCAGCGTAGGCAGCGCTTGGACTCAAATATAATGAGAGAGAAACGATTGTAATATTTATAATAATTCGAGTTGCATTTATTGAATCGTAACCGTTGAATCAACTAATTCGTAATCACTGATTCAATAAATAATTATAGTAATTTGCTCAGCCAAATGAGCTTTGTTAAACGAAGCGTCGGCGGTTTCTTTCGTGCAACCTCTTCCTCAGATTTTTTGCAAATTTTCTTACGTAGGTCTACTCATAGACGTAATAAGAATAGACTGCGTATTTCTACGAAATTGCACTGACAGAAAAATTATTTATTTATGACTATAATTACATATCACCGCAATTATGATTATTATTGTTGTAATGTTAGTAACAATAACTATACGTTTAATTCTATCAATAAATGTTTATTTTTGTGACAATCGAAATTACTATAATTATAATTATTATATTATATAAATAGTTATAATTACTGTAATTTCATTATAAATTATTTTTAGGATAACCATATAAAATATGATTGGCCCAAAAAAGTGCCTATAAAGTATAGTAAAATTATAACAATTTTAACTGTTTTTATAGTAATGATAAATATAATTATATAATTTTTTGTTATCACAACTATATATATGTATTTGTTGATAAAATTACTAATGTTATAACAATAATAATCATAATTATGGTAACATGTAATTATAGTCATGAATATTAAAAATTTTCTCTCAGTATAGATTTAATATCCCTCTCTCTCTCTCTCTCTCTCTCCTTTTTCTCTAAAGAATCGAGGAAGAAAGATGCTGACATGTTCAATTCTTTTCAATAGAGCACATACATGCTAAAATCAGAGAACGCACAATCTATAACTATTACGTCTATCAATTCAATGCGGGCTGATGTGATATCCCTATAAAAAAAAAAAATCTGCGGTGTAAACGGGCCTTGCAGAATTGCTGGAACGATCGACATCGTACGGGGATCACCGACGATTTCGAGACGGCGCGGCCGATCAACGGGAGATTCACCCAGGGCATCCTCCGATTTAGCATAATTTTCTAACTCATTACGCGCGCGCGATACGTAATCGATAAATATACGAGTATAACGGCGTCGATCAGTTTGACGGCCGGTCTGTCGAACAAACGACGCGATGAGACGAGAAGAGACGGGAGTCCGAGGGCGCGTCGCGACGCCGCCGTCGTGAAAATCGGCCGTCGGAGCGAAACCGTCGCGTAGAGTGATCGAAATTTGGGACGCGGCGCAATCTGCGGTCTCGAGTGGCACACTTGCGAGAAACGACACTTGCTACAATAGTGATGAACCAGGGTAAAGGAAGATACACACGCCTGGCCTGTATCGCCTGAGCGTGTTTCTTTTTATCGCTGAGCGCCGCTCGTTCGATTCCCGAGATATCATCTCGATCTTTGATATGATCATTCACGTTAAACAAATCAAATTTTAGAATCGGACAAACGCGTTTAGTGATTACGCTAAACGCGTGACGAAAATGCGGGCCGTATCTTGTTCCCGCGTGGATATGTGTATCTTCCGTTGCCGTCTCACCGGAGATTTTTTTATATATATGATATAATGAGAGGGCAAAGGCGGCGGGAGAGTAGTGCATTGTTAATTCGAAAATGCTCATTAAAACGAATTTAGCGAGTATACAGCGTAAGAAAATTTTACATGGTGTTTGTACGTTTAAGGGACTAAAAATCGTATTACACTGCAGAGGATCGCTCTGCGATCGAACCACCGTACGTAATTAACGGGAGCATTAAAAAAAAAAAAAAAGCAGCGCGAAGATGTAAAATTACGAGCACGGTAAGCGGGAAATATTGTATATTGTAAGAAAAGAACAAAAGAAGAGGAGAGAAAAAAAAGGAGGGAAACGAAATTCGTGTAAACGTTAAGCGAATTAAACTCTAGAAACTCGATATATGGTAATCGTTTGGTTAGTGAAAAGTCACGTGGTTATTA